AGCCACAAAAATTTCCGGCAGATGTGATGGTATTACTATGGTTATGTCATCTCTATGTGACCTAAAGTTCACGAGCCCGATACCCGGTTGAAAAGCCCCATACTAAAGCAAAACAGTCATCTAGTGCTTTCTGGTCCTCATTGCTCATTTAACTAAGATCATTCCCTGTTTTCGGCTATAAAATAAACGGTAATCAAGTTATCATAATTGACTAACTTAACAGTAAATCCTTGATGTTCTAGTGTAACATACTGATTAGTGAAGTTCAACACTGTTCAGATTGATCAAGATATTATCGATAATGATAAAAAGTCACTGCTTTGTCTCTTAAATTGACTGAAGTTTGATATACAGGTCATCTAATTTTAACTTAAAGATTCTAGGTTCAATATCTGTCTGGGTTATAGTTGCTAACTATTAAATTATCTCAAATTAGGGCAAATAAGCTATCTAATATATACTGGTTTCCAATGATTAACTAGTTTCAATGAGTCCATAATGTGAACTATCTCAAAGTGGAACGGGCTTTCAATAGTATTTTTTTTCAGATAGGCAATCATTCATTTTGAATAAACTAATCTAAATGCAATGAAAATCTTATGACCTCATTCATTCCTCTCGTTTCTTCTTTTTAATAAAAAAAAATGGTTTAATTATTTTTATTAGTACAAACTTCACATAAAAGTGATTAGTGAACCATTAGAAATATATTTCTTCATTAAAACAGTTTTCAAAGAATATAAGTAATATAAACACTAAAGTTGTATTTTATCTAAATCAATTAAGCTGATATCTGAATTATTTCCTATTGAAATATACTGGTATTTTTAACAATTCTGAAGTGTAATGTGGTGTGTGCTACTTATGTAGACAAAAGTAGTATATGATGTTAGTCGTGAACTGAATGTCTGGTAGCAGAGAGACAAAAAGACCGAACAGTAAAGAATAAAAACAGAATGCAATTTGTGTGAAAATACAAGAACAAAGAAAGTCTAAATTATTTGAGACAATTGATGGACTTTTTCAAATTGAGCATTTAATATATGGTTGTTAGATTTTAATAACCAGTTCTGTAATTTGTTCACACTGGTGTTCTTGTTCACTACAATAACATCATCGGTGACAGGAAACTAGAAAGTATAATGTTTTAGAAGGTAGAAGTAACTAGATCTCTAGATGTATGAACGAATTTTCTATCGTCAAGATGAAAGAAAATAGTATTGATCAAAAGATGACATAGAATAATGGTAGGTAGTCTAGTGTTGAGTACTTTCGAAATCAAATTACTAACATAATCTCCCAAATGTTTTAAGTCCCAAGAAAAGATCACCACATAGCTTACAACATGATTATTTAAATTTTAAATGTCAAATAACATAATATCTCATTATACCATAAATAAATCCTATTGAATAAATTAACAGTTATTAATTATCAATTGATAAATTACTTAATACTCACTGATAGTTTCTTAAACCGACTGTTTCATAGAACAGTAAAACTTACTAGCTATAGAACTTCACACGACAGTAGTAGACTTTTAGTAAGCCTCAATCTGACCTCATAACTAATGACAATGATAAATGATGCTACCGAAAAACACATCCTATTTAATTCCGAACATATTCTTTTGGTTGATCATACAAAATTATAAGGAAAAATTGAATATGGTAATTTTCGATACAAATATTTTAGGCATTTGTAGCCGAAATACGGAATGAGAAATTAACAATTCAGCCGACATGAGCGAATAAAGAATGGACCAGTATTTACATGAGGTGAACATTGTATACTCTACTAAAGCCAATCAGAGTATAGATATCAGACATGCTAGTTCAAATCATACAAAATACATTGATGCACTTAACAATGTCACAAATAATAGGAATACATAGGCAGGTCACCCAACAGCTGACCGGAACAGAATGACACATTTAATGGCCGAACAAAATAGGTTATATTGGTCTGTGATAGCCATTGTTACAGACTCATTGTTTTATTTGCAACAGTTTATATTTAAAGAAAAGAGTACTAAAGTCAACGATCCTTCTTGATAACTTCTTCATTAAGCTCTACATGCTCGAAATTTGAAAATTGTAAACTCTGAGCTAAAAGGCCATCCTAACTTAGTGATACCATGCATACAACTATCTGAATATATGATCTAAGCTTCTTCAAGTTAAGATGTTAGACTATAAAAATAACGAACAATTCATTTTTATAAGGGTTATTTGAATCTTTCCATTTATGTTTGGGACTGCAAATTGATCAGTCTCTTTTTGGAATATGTGCATCCTATGCGGATTGCCTTGAAATTGCCTTAGGTCACAAGCATTATGAGTGGAGATGATGGCGGTTATCAGTGGAACCCAAGAAGCGCGTTCCGTCCTATTTAGGACTCACCAGCTGGATTTACCGAACAGGACGAAACGTGCGTTTAGAATTTCACAGCTAGCCACCATCCATTTCTCCTTACAGTTGCAATGGCGGTTACTATGTTAATCCCATATACCTTAGTCTAGCTTCTGAGCAGGCCAATTTATCCATTCTTCTTAAGTCACGCTTCGACCTTGTTAATCATTCACTTATCAACCCTGACTGTTTTTATATGAACGTATGTGTGTATATCTTATCCTACTCATCACATATATGTAGCTTATTTTTGTGTGCTATAAGTATCGATTAACGCTTGACTAAATGAAGTTGGCTCACACCCCTTCTCCACTGCGTGTCATTTCGCTCCGCTCTCTTCTCTTCGCTTTGTTCCTCTGATTGTCTGTCCAGATCAATGAGTGTACAAAATATATGTATTCAAAATCTATTCTCGTATTTGACATATTTAACTTTGTTATTCACTAACGTGGACTGAGTTGATAATTATACACGAAGATTGGGGACATCTATAACTATCAGAAACGATCAAACTAGAGTCAGATTCAGGGCCAAAAAAGAATAATGAATAATTTTTATTTGTCCTTTTACCATTAATATGGGCTAATAATATTCCCCACCAGCCAAATCCAGTCAATTCAATTGTTCTGCTATCTGTAAAAATTAAGCAATCAAATATGTCGCCTCATTATGTCAATACTTGCCAAAACAATTTAAGTGTTTTATCCGCATAATATTAATTTAGAACAGTGAGAAGACGGAGTTGATCTTGTCATTGTTCTATCAAAATTTATAAAAGGGACTAATTGCTTTAAATATTAATTTAAACTTCTAATGATGATCAAATATTTCAAGTTAGAAATTTTAAATAGTTATGATAATAATTTTGGATCTATTAGGTACCTTAGTTTCATTAGACAGACTATAGACCAATAAAGGTAATAACAATTAAACTACATCACAAAACTAACAGAGTAAGAATTTCGCACTTGTTTAACCTTAGGATATGTTGCTTGCTATTCATATTCAATTAAGTAATAAGACTCGCAAACAAAATATAAATAACTGTGAGGTCGACCATAATCGAGTATTTTCATGGTATTGGTTAGCAAACACAGGTCCATCACTACAATAATATTTTTGTAGTTATCAGACGAAACAAGGAGTTTATGCTGTGTCGTTATACCAAGAATAGCTCAATACTCACTAAGACTAGCACGCGTCTTGTGAACCAACAGAATTCATACTATACTTATTGAGCAAGGCGAACAGAATCATTGCTTGGTCATGTAATATTAGATGCCATCCACATGAGAAACTGTGCCAACTTACGGCATACATATGTATTTTGATCGACGGTATTCTTAGCTAACTTGTTGCTCGCTACTAGAAATCATGAATAAAATGGAGCAGGAAAGAACATGAAGACTATTAATGAGGATTAATCTGGCACCCAAACTAAATGAAAATGATATTTGAGCACTCTGCCCTTTACATTAATTTGGTTTCAACCTATATCAATTAGTTAATAATTCCCGACTAATCATAAATATTCAATATCATGATACTAACTGCCTGTAACCAGCAGATATTACTAATATGGTTACTCCTTAATATTTGATCGCATTTTTCAAAAGACTGAGAGCGAAAATTAAATCATATGTCACACGCACTTCAATAAATCTTGTTCTTGCACACCACATCATTGCAATATGATGGCTTAGAGATTACAAAAATAGTTCATCCAGAGAGATTAAATTGTAGTTAAGTCCTTAGAAACAAAACGGTTAACTGGCTCTAGTTACATTCGAGTTAAAGAAGAAATATATAGTCATATTTTTATTCTGTTTCGCTTAAATGAGTACATGGTACTAAGTTTGAACCCACCAAACTAAGCTTTCTTCCGGCTTACTTCTACATTAGCCATCATGTAACAACGAAGCAGACAGTGGTTTTGAATATATTAGATACGTTTCAGCAATCCAACCGACGAAAATTCGAGGCCTAACTAACTGATTCCCCATTTTTACTCAGCACTCTATATCAAACCTAACCTCTGGTCACTCGATCAATCTAAAATAGACCAGAAATTCTTTAAGAACATTCAAAATCGAATAATGGCAACCAAACAGTGTCTTTAAAGTCCTTAGACTACAATTTACAGCCAAAAATACAGATCAACCTACAGCAGAGTACACTAGTTCTTTTGATGATAGATATCCTGCTTGTGACGCAAGTTTTTGAACCTCAAACGAGATTTTTGATTGCAAGCTATGCGTTATAAAATCAGAATGTTCGACCGCAGTGAAGGTGAATTTAAGTCACAAATTAATAAGGAAGGTAGGTTTATACCATAAAAGTGTAGGCCTAAAAATGTCTTTAAAATCCCATGTAGCTTTATTAAAACTAGCTCATGGCGCACGATCAATCAATAGAACCAGATTTGGCGGCCATCTGCCTATGAGAAACGTTCGTTTTAACTCCGTACCAGCCACCTTAGTGATATCGACTTTGTTTAAATCCACACTCAATGGAATTTTCCCAATCAGACTTATATACTTTTATTTCCCATCAGTGATGTGTTCGGCATGTAAAATTTATCAATGCAGTAAACTGCGGAACGCTTGATATTCTTCTGCATAAAGATCATCATAAATTGTAAATAATGTCAAACCACATATATAAAAACTGCACAAACATCTGAATTGGTAATGAACAAATATATACACACTTATCAACAAGTAAATCATTAAAAGGCATAAAGTTTCTTTCACAAAGGAATAATATGTTAAAAAAGGCAAGGTTCAGTTAAAATTATACAACAAGTTAAAGTGTCTTGACGTAGAAATCAGTAAAAAGTTTTCTCACAAACAAGACTTTGACACTCGATCGCCTCCAAACAATTTTGTTTGGAATCATTACAATGACAGAAGTCAAAACATTATGTACTCAGTGACACTAGTATCAAAACAGCAAAGCTTATATCTTTTGGTTCTGTGGGAAGGTATAGATATGAGGTGACATTGTACTCGCAGCTCCACTTAGAAAGTTGATTTCCTGTAGAACTTCGGGATCACCTTCTCCAACTAGTGCCAGCCTGATTTCTGAATAATATGAATATCCAACTATCAAAAACCCGACCTAAAACAAGAAACACAATTAGTTTTTAGTCTTTGAAAGAAGTGTATGCTAATTGTAAAATGAAGAGATTCCAGTTCTCAGACTGTTTTCGTCTACTTGCGAATAAATGTAAACCGCCATTTTATCATCCTCGGTTTCAAGTGCGATATCAATCTCTACCTTATACGACCAACAAATTATCCAACACCATAGCTGCAAAAAAAATTAACGATAGCATATTATATTATAATGAAAACAAATGTTAATACACTGATTGGACAACGACGCAGTGACAACGACCAACAGGAAAATTTGACATAACGCAGAAGATGAAACAAACCTCAACTCACATAGAGAACGTAACACACAATGAAATACATCACACTGAAGATCAAGTACGGTGCACGCTGAAAGTTCGTCTAAATATATGTATAGATGTACATACCCATGCAGCTAGTCCATACCAAGAGTACGTATACACACCAACTCCTAGATTAGCGATCTGATACAGAACCATGATTATGCACCAGGCTCGGAGATATGATTTCAAGTGATAAAGTCTCTAAAGACATTATTAGAGTACTATTATATATTACGTATCTCGCTGGCCAAGAAATAGCAACAATCACAATTACGGACATTATCAGAAGAATGAGATTTGCAAAAAACATGAAAATATCACACAATATGAAGCCTGAAAATGTAACAGATAGTTATAAAAACAGCCAAACCTTTCCAAAATCTAATACGCCAATACGTTGGGAACTGAGGATCTATAACGAAATCTGGGATTGCCCAAGTGACCAAATCTAGAACCACAAATACCCATGAAATAGCAGAACTAATCTAACGACATGCTATCGAGAACGAAATGTATATTTACTGCTGTAGTTATGGTCGAGATAAAGCAACCCAAACGATTATCCAAACAAAAGCATCCACGAAGAGGGAATATTGGTGAAACACCATCCTTTCGTCTTATTAGCCACACCATACAGTCTTCAGTGTGTAAAAAGAAAGTAATCAACAAATAATTAAATACACGGAAATCCGTTTCATTTTAAATTTCCTCCTAAAATTTGTCAACAAAATATGTATTAAAAAAACACTGTTCAGTATACAATTACTTATGTACCAATGATAAGTCAAGTTAAAATATCGTAACTACCTTAAACTATATTTTGATGTTTAAATACAAATTTTCCATCGTTTTAGTACGGCACAGATGACGAAAATAAAAATAATCATCTAACTAGTTCATGATTCGGTCGGTCACATACCCAATATGCAAAAAGATTGAAATTGACCAAGAGGTTTATATTACCTTCCAGACGTCCAGAACAATAAACACTATTGTGTCAGAAAGAACCCGCAGGTGAAGAATATAGTACTGTAGATATTGGATGTAATTAATGGAATAAGGAGTTCTAGATTGTGTAACATTATTTTAACAAGTGAATAAGAGTAAGTTAATTTCCTCGCACTGACCTACTGGTATTCAGCTGAGGTTCCTTAACTTGTAACATCAGGTTGTATCGTCTTCTGACTGGAGAATGACAGTCAGTAAGTGTTGATATAATTACCTATTCCATCTCCAAATCTGTTTGTGGATAATTATCTATTTCCATTGTAGTGGCATTTTCTTACCAATTACGTTGATATTTTTAATTGATTCGACAAGGTCAAAGGAATCGAGAGAGTTATATTTATTGATATGATTTTTAGTAGGTTATAAAAGTCAACTAACTGTTTAGCAATCAAGTGATATGAGGAGTTGTTCATACCAAGTATAGGACGTAGAGGGACATTATTCTTATGAAATTTTGGGAGTCCATATAGTCTTGGTACAACGGAACCAGAAGGTTCAAGATATTTAAAGACGTCAAAATTAATAATAGACTCATCTTTCATCTTCCTTAGTATTTCAATCAGCAATAATCCCGTTTTTTCAGTTGTGTCTTTTTGAACGTTTCTTTAGAGAATTTCACAGGATCGGATAATATCGAAGATATTTTGGTAACATAGTCATGACGATCCATCAGGACAATCCCTGCACCCTTGCCTGGACGACATAACACTAAGTCCTGATTTCTCCGAAGATCATTTATTTGGGATTTATGTTCTTTTGTGAGTAATTGACTAATTGCAGGAGTTTTATTTACATATTGATTACAGCAGTCTACAAGAGTTGTTTTGAAATGTTCACTATCTTTGTTAGATACTGGAATAAGGTCTTTAGTCTGGCGAATGAGGCTTTCAAACTGGATTTTACTTCTTCTTTCTTATAAAAGAATTTTGAATTAAACTCGACGAAAACCTCGCTGAAACTAGATTGCGACTGTTGGTACTAATTTGTTTTTGAAGACAATATGAACGCGTTCTTAACAAAACGCATCAAGAATTGTATGCAAAACAAACAAAAGATACAAAAAAGTTGGAGTAAAAAGCTCTTGTCAACCTGAACGGAGATGAGTAAGCGTTAGGCACCCAATTTTACTATATAATCTGCTCTTGGTTATAACCACGCTGCTTGACCAAGCTGGTAGTGTCTACATACAATTCCAGGGACCAAGAAGTTCCTCATCCATTTACTGTGACCCGGCCAATTACTACTCAAACTGGTGATATTAATAATGCTATATGCAGTTAGTGCTTGACAGCACATTTGTCCTTAACACACTTATAATCAAAAAAACACAAACCCATTCCAGCTTGGAGTCAGAAATGATGTTCTCAGATATATTTAGAAGATGTTCGATATGTAGTAAAGTGTTGGATTTAATCTGGTTAGTTATTGCAGGAGGGTGTTGTACACCATACTTGGTTACGATCTGGCGCGCATGCTTAACGGAGTGCTTTTAGCAGGGGGTGTCCCCAGTAAAGATAAATAGGTAAAAATTGACGACGAAGACTCACAAAGCTGTTTTATTTCGAGGGTTTGTTTGCCGCTACAGTTCACAACACACCCTTCTGGGGTATTGGTGACCATAAGGAGTGACAGGAAAGGAGTTTAAACCCGACAAGCGTACCATTGTTAAACAACTCCGGTGAGTTATAGTGTACAAAATAATCCTAAAACGTTTCAAAAGACATATTTATTTCAAGAATTCATCTCCCGCAAGTTATCTTTCTCATTCACCACGAAAAAGTTAGAAATAAAGATATAAGTGCATGTCAAAATACACTCTTACCTACGAAAGCAACCCAAGCGATCAAAAAGACAGCATAAATACGTATCTACCCCATGCGATTTGGAAAAAATAACGCACGAAAAAACTTCAAATATACTACGATTAGTTTTTTTATTAAATTATATACGTAAAGATCCTTAAAAACTCAATAGTTTGGGGATTTTTTCGCTCCTGACATAACAAACATTGATATTTTATAAGGTACGTTGATTATAAAAGTATAGGGGACAATACTCCTCAAACATGAATGCAAATAATATTAGTAGGATCCGTAATGTAAATATGACAGTTGGCTCGCTTTATGGAGGTTGCGTTGCGACGTGCGACTGACAGTTGAGAGTGAATTCACGTAAATTTGAGACCCCATATGAACTGTGACATTATATCCCTCTGAGACATCTGAGGCATCTAGTGACATAGGACAAAGTAACCTTTTCCAAATGTGTTATCGGTGTCATATCTTGAGAGAGCTGAAAAAGAAGGTAGGAACAGAGCTTGTCTGTTAAGAGCCATGTAAGAAACTCCCAATCTAGTGAGGAATGTTGATGAACTTACCAGGAGGTTGAAAGCCAGTAGCTTTTTTATTGTGGTTGGTTCTTGGTAACCCATAATGACCTCCAATTCGTCTTTTCTTTATTTGTATTCTTTATTTACTTTAAGCACCAAGCAAATGATCGAGAAACTAGATGGAGTCCATTCCGATTCGATATGTTTATTGTGTTAAAAAGTGACTGAACATAACCTACAACCAGAAAATGTAGTCCCACAAATAGAAAATTTAGTGTATCCTCCCAAAAATCTTCGTCTGCACTTATTGATGGGTAGATTATAGTTTTGTTGGAGGTCTATGTGATTGACTGGTATAGAAACGTCTGTGACAACAAAAATCTGGCAAAGGAGTCTAGCTAAACGAAAGCTAATTCTAACATATTTTTACCGTACGTGACGATCGATTTTCTATTTGCCGCCAGCAATCTGAAGACTGTGTCTTGCAGACAGTTATTAGTTTTCGCGCGCACCCTGTATCGACCAGATAGTAAACATTTGTACTCATGCTAGATAGCTACCGTTAATGCGTGCCGGTGTGAGACTTTCTCCATGGCTTTTTGTGAAGGAAGCTTTGAAGTAGCGGAGACTATTGAGTTTCCGGTAATCTGGAAAAGATTTATCATTCATGTTGTGATACCAAAACTAGTTTTCGTTATCTGTTTCTTACGGCAAGGAAACAAAACTTTTAGACGGTGCGCTTCTTTGAGGAGCCTCAGATAGCCAGCTACCATGATGAGAGTTAGTAAAATAAATGCGAGTATGACAGCTTCGTTTGGCGTTAACTAAGACTCCTCTGTGATAAAACGGTCGATGGTGGAGGTTCATTTATAGCAGTTTTTGGAGTGAAAGAAGAACCACTTACACTTTTCGTAGAAGCTTAAACAGAGAGAATGGTTCAAAAAAGCCCTCATCAAAAGTCTACTGACCGATGGCTTATCTTATCAGTTTCAGTTTGGAAAGAACAGGACGCTTAATGACCTGTGTTAGTCCTGGCAATGATGATCTCCCAGTTGATCCAACTTTCTTTTAAGAATGTCAACGAATGTAGCTTCAATCAGGCGTTGAGGTAATGAATTCCACTCGTTGATGATTCGATGTTCAGCTGACAAGTAAATGGTTCTGGGATTCTGTACATTCTGGAAGTATCCACGTAAGTTTTCTCTTTTGGAAGACAATAAAAATGAGAGCATATCAGAGGCAAATTTATCACTAAGTAATTTGAAAACCGTAATCAAGTCACCTCTAGTTCTTCGATATAACGATGGGAATAGGTTTAGTTTAGCCAGTCGAACATGATACGGGAGCTTCGCTATTCTGGGAATCAGCTTAGTTGCTGTGCACTGAACCTTTTCCGAAAGCTTGCTGTCTTTTTTAGGCATATGGCACGTAGCAAGACCGATGATAATAGGATATGAGGAAGGTCATTTACATAGAAGAGGAATAACACTGGTCTCATAACTTTACCTTGAGGCACTCCGCTAAACACAGTTTCTCAGCTAGACAAATTCGAGTTCACCCGTACTCTTTGTTGGTGCCTAACTAGAAAGTCTTTTGTCCACATCAATAGATCGCCTCCAATCACGATATTTAGCTTGTAGAATTATTGTCTACTATGATATTGGCACTGCTACAATAATAGACCTAATCCTAAAATTGTAGATTTGTTATGATATAACTTCCTAATCTACAGGGATTTACATCGTCGTCTACACCAAATCACTGCATCGTAACAATTACCAAGATGATGGAGAACAAGCTTAGGCTAGGGATAGAACAAAATATATTATATGAATAAAAGTGTTAGCAGGATATAAATTGGATTAAAGCATGCTCAATGCAGGATTGCTTTGGCGCACGCTGATTGGCTGATTCTTATCCAATCAGCGCTAGTCGATACTTGGAGAAGACTCTAAAATCTCCTTATGTAAAAACTATAAATATACTAACGGTTTTCCTATTGTGCTTCTTTTTTCCATCTAACTTTGTTATTTAGAATATAATCTCCTTCCTGTTCAACCGTGTTCTGATTTGGGGACTTATCGACTGAATTAGTGTCCGTGAATACTAAGCAATTGGAATAGCTGGGTTATAACCGTAAGAGAGAAATATAACAAAAAGATATAAAGTAACATTCAGTAGGGACCACACCTGCGTGGCCAAGCCACGCCATCCGATCAACTTTAATTAATTCAATTCATTGTTCTCGCCTTCTCCATCCTTGGGTGTGTCTCCGCGTTAAATGTTGAATGTCTATTTCCCACATTGTCTCGTATCAGGGCCCAATGCTACTACAAACTCATATAACAGCCAGTTGTCAGGACTATCGTCAAAGCCTTGCTGAAATCAATGCAGGCTACGTGCATAGGTAACTTATGATCCTCAAGGGCACACCAGCTTTCACGAGCCACTAGTGAGTTAGTGAGAAAGAGGTTACATATTTTAAAGCTATGCTGCTTTTCCGAAAGGATCTGATTTTCATCTAGATACGTAAATAGCTCCTTCCGCATAATCTTTTCTAAAATTTTAACAACCACGCTGGTTAAGCTTACGGGTTGGTAGTTCTCAGGTTTGTGTTTCGTGCCTGTTTTGAAGACAGGACTCACTATGGAGTTCTTCTAATCTTTTTGTGATCGACCCTAGTCAGGGACCGAAGTTAGCTAGTTCCTGTGGTAATCGAGGATGCAATTCATCAGGTCCTTTAGGTTTGCTTTTATCAAGCTTATTTAACAGACAAAAGACAAAAGCTTCTTAAATAGTCACGTTGTTCAGTGTGTGTGGGATGAATTGTATGTACTGACGAGAAGGGTGTTTCTAAGGTATACACACCTTGAGAATACTTCAGATTTACAATAGCCGTCCTCCACTAATGATAAAGCAATACGGTCTCCCCATAACGCTGGAATATTTTCTCTTGGTCTTTTGGTTTATATACCAATACAAGCGTTTAGGGCACTCTATGAGTTCCCTGATAACGTTTTTCCTCGTACAACCTCCTAAGCGCTCTGCTTGAATATCTGGGCTACCTGTTTCTGCTATTTAGATATTTCAACAGGTCATTACGTAAACTGGTTGCACAACCTATCCAGTTGTGTTTGTGAGAACTCCACGAGTTTTCGCTGTGCAAGTTAGGAGAGAGCATAATCAGAGACATTGTGGTTGCCAGCAATATGTATCGAAAAGAATAAACATTATTCAGGTGTCGATTCCTGAACTGTCAACATCTAACTGGTGATCACTCAGGATTGTTCAGGAAATAAGAACAGGAAACTTGTTGAAATACTTTATGCTGGAAATTCTACATTGTACCGGAAATATAATATTAAATGAAGCTAATAATAATAGACTTACGGATGGTAGAAACACAAGTATTTCGATCTTCTCGATATTGAGATTTTGTCTCGTCAGTACCCAGCAACCGGCGAGACTCTAATTCATGGACGACCTTTGAACGAATCTTAATTGACCTTGAGAATATTGGCCAGTCAGCGAACAGTAAGTATAGAGTAAAAATACACTACACAAAACCAAGGAAATAAAGTGGATACACTCCTTATACGTGGTTCAAGAACTTGTCAAAGTTAGAAAGAGGTTCAGAGGTTCTAAAATTGTAATACATGCAGTAGAGGAAACCATCTGTATGGCTACAGAATAGTCAACTTCTGGAGCCATGATAGAGTCTTAAAAACTTTCAGCCTTGACCACATAGTCTCAATATTGTTTACGTGCACTCCGGTTGTTGAGTATACAAATGCCCCTTGTGGATAACGACACCATGCACACAACCAAGCCTATATAGGAGTCTGTACGCTCTCTAGACATCCGTATGTATTGTAGTACCCGGCTGCAGTTAGTGTTACTGGTGCTTTTATTATTCAGTCCGCGATAATTGTCATATTCTGCCTCAATTAGAAATCATGTAAAGGGTTTTCATAACGAATTGACATCAGCTATAATGTCAGAAATTTATTTCGCCAAATGGATGAAAGGCTTTCACGTTAAAATCCGAGATGTCATCTTGTACCTGATTGATTCGTTCACAAATTCTAGTCTCGCCGTTTTATTTGTTATAGCCGCTCAAAATTCCCTGTGAACAGATCGCACGTTAGCATTAAGCACTAAAGTTGGCGCCGTAACCTTGAAATCTATAAGACGCTTCTTATTGGCTCGTCCATAAATTAGAATCTCACTAGTCAAAGGTTAAAACTGCTTGACCACTTTTACCTAGGAGTAGCACGTAGTAGTGGTTCGTGGCGTCATCCCCATAATTGGTTAATATAAGATCTTGTTAGGATGATTCAGAGTCCGGGTCGTGCCTAGTCTCTTCTTTCACATGTTGAACTAAGGCACTTGTGATAACCCCAATAACTAGTTCCTACTCAAAGGAATTTTCTGACGATTTAGTTCTCAGATATTTACCGTCTATAGCGAGTGCATTAAAGTTTCCTAGGATTGAGAATGCCTAACATAACCTCATTTACCTCACAGATTGGAACGCGGTAGACCAAAACATTCAGCAGATATTGTCCTCTGCATTTCAAGCGAAAATTAACTAATTTATACGTCCCACCCTCTTGGAATACACTGTCGATAATGGGAAATGGGATAATATTCGTGATGAATAGAGTTACTGCTTCTCATTTACACTTCTGTGTTTTTTTGTCGGCCAATACTAACGTGAAACATTCAAAATCAAGTTCCATACTAACTGTAGATGGTTTAAGTTAAGTTTCTGTGACTGTGATTACATCTGACTTTGTAGAGTCAGTCTGTACACCTAGTTGTGATAGCTTATTAAGTAAGCTTCGAGCATTTGTGCTGCATCCATAGTGGCCTAGGCATCATTCTCTGTTGAAGCTGTTGTCGAACCCTAGTGAGATTCGATATTGTGGAATAATTTATATAGTCTTCTTTGATCGTTTTGGTTTCCATGTTTAAAGATAAACTTTATCTAATAATCGTAAGATTCACTAGCTCCAAAAACTTGAGAGGGGTTTACGAGTTAAGCGTTACTGAAACCAAAGCAAAAGCGGTCGTAAATAAGTCAGTCACTTTATACAAAATCGTAACGAAGTCATTGGATAAGTCCACAGCCATGAAACCCTATATACAAAGTATTGAAGTATATCCTCACAAATTCGATACATAGTTTACAAACTTTAAAAAGTATGGAATAGCTAAAATACCAAGCTTGGTGTTTAATCCAAACATGAATTCAAGTAATTTTTCCGCACGTAGCTAAGATCTGTAAATTTACTTGTGAGTACGTTATTAAGCTATACATTATTGGAGTTTGCCAGAGCATGATTGTATATATATTTCGATATCACAATTTTCTATAGCAATTTACAATAAGATGCTTTTCTAATGAATATCATACGTAGGAAAAATACACCGTTCAAAATCTTAGATTACGTTTACGCAGTAAAAAGTGGAGTGATATTAAAATCGAGAATTCATGGCAATATAAAGAATAATGTCCCAGTGTTAAAATGAATGGTCATCGTTTATATCAATCAGCGTTTCTGGGTTATCAATATATATTGATTAGGATTCTCACATGGGACCCACCCATTTAATTTGAACTTAACAACACTGTTGAAAAGGGGATTTAGTTACTTCGTGGTCTAGTATTATTCCTCTCTTTGGTCCTCTGTAGGTTTCTCTAAACTTAATATGTATTACTAGAAATACCAAATGTTTTCAATTTTTGTACTGTACAGATCTGTTGTTTGTGTAATACTGACGCCATCTGCTGAGATCTCAGGAGAAGCTTTCCGGAGATACTCGTTTTGATTAAGACTTTGCAGTATCGATACTTTTCACTGACTTATGGACACGTGACTAAACTATATGTCTCTTGAAAAACTAGCTGGTATCGAAGTTCCTAAATGTTATTCAAGAAAATAGATCAAAAAGTATTCATTACACTGCATTAAATAATCTGACGAATTAGTTACTAAATCATACAAACCGAACTTGGTTCATGTACTCGTCATAAAGCTAATTGTCTAAATATCAAAACATGGTTTCAAATCAAGCGATTTAGTCACCAAGCCATCATAAAATTACTTTAAAACCTTTTTTCTGGATACGGGCTCGTAATATAGTTTTTTATTACCTACATGCTAATTTTGAGGTTAGATTGGATATATGGCCAACTTTATTTTTAGACGTCCCCAAATGCCCTGGTACGGCCAAGGGTGGGGTAAGTCCGCTCTCCTTCTCGAAATGCTCTCACATGGCCACGCGTATACAGCCACCACCAGGGAAGTCCTACTCACTGCCTTCTCACACCACGAGTGTTGTTTAAGAAATTGTGAGGACAAAAAGCGAATGTCCGGCGCTTTAACCAGGTTGATGGAAATGGAAGATCCAAACCAATGGTGCACATGGACTCCAGGATTCTGAGGAAACAAATGGCGTATGAACCAATTGTTGGTCACGGGTTACCATAGGACTGCATCTCCTGACATTTCTCCACTGTCTTGTGGATCAGACCTTTAGGTCGAAGGCTACGAGTGTGGCCCCCCAAGTAGACCGCCTGTTTAGGTCTGGGCATCCGGGCAGTATCACAGTCTACACACAAACCAATGACTTGTGTAGCGCATATGTATTCGGTGCCCCTTTGTATCAATATTTGTGTTCAAATAACTAATTTTTAGACACATAGTTATTGAATATGAGCTCTATTTCTTTATACATTTCACTCTAACATAATTAGTCTTCTAGACTTACAGGAAAAAAAATACAGCTTTTAGTTATGGTATTTGTAAATTTATACTACTCGGTAGTGTTTTATTCCTTATCAATGTCATAGAGAAATTTCTGTTGATCATTCTCTTTACAATCAGGTTGTATAGATTATGAAGTTGTTGTATACGTAACTGAAACATCACACTCGTTAGCATCATATGTGATGTGTTTGTACACAGTGAATGTTTGTCAGAATTTTGAGCCTTATCTTTCTCTATTTGAATTAAGTAGTCCACCAGCCTATAATTAGTTATTAAGGAAAGCTTCCATTTATAAGCTATTTCGTTCGCATTTTTGACTTAATGTGCAAAAGCCACACTTTAATTTTACTATTCCCACTTTGAGTTTGTGCTAACTTAGGTATTTGGATACACGCCTCTTTAGCTTAGCGTATGTTTCGTTTATTCAAGTCTAAACGATGTCTAATAATTTTGTAATTTATGCAGTAGGCCCATTCAAACCAATGAATCTCACAAAAGAAGTTGATTTCGGACCGATTCGTGGAAGGGGTCTTGTTGCTGCTCAGTTTATAAATCCTGAAGACATTCTTTTTTCAGAAGACCCTCTAATATGCTGTCAGTTTTCATGGAACAAGCTCTATGGATATAAAGCTTGCGATCATTGTTTGTGTCCACTCGAAACATCGGAGGAGAATGTTAGAAGACTTACTAACAATCCATCGCTTGCATTACCTTATCCAGAGGCATCATTTCACTGTAGCCAAACTGTTCACTGTCCTAATTGCTTAGCTAACTACTGTTCCACTAACTGTCTCGAATCAGCTGCTCTTACATATCATTCTCCAATGTGTATGGCATCCATCGAAAAAGACAAAGAAAATCCATTAGAAAAGTTAGACATAATCTGGCGACAGTCTCATTATCCTCCAGAAAGTGGCACTATCTTTTTACTCGTGCGTATTGCTGCTGCATGTCTATCAGCGTGTCTTATTGGTTCATCGACCTCACAGCATTTAGTTGAAGCACTAAAACAGTTTGTTTCTAGTACAAGTGCAATGATTAGTGAAAATGCAAATGATATCCTCTATCACCAAATACTTGGTGATCAGTTTGCTACACATATCGAAGAGATTCACAGTGCATTTATTGAAGTACTATTATTTTTATGTCAAAAGTTTAGTCATGCTACATCTTATGATGAATGCATTCAAACCCTGCAAAAAGCCGGCATAAATACATTATTAGAGAAAAACCATTTTACAAGTGCTTTATGTCTGATTAGTCGTAATGGTCAAGGTATTGCAACAAGTGCTTTCAGTGTTTGGGTTAATCAGGCTGGAAAACTAGTTGATACAACGAATGAACAAACATCTAATGAATTTAATTTCTTTGTCAACCAGCTATACTCGGCAATTGATGATCACGTCGGTTCTTTTTTGGACAACGAAGGGGTCGGTTTATATTACTATCAAAGTAAGCATTTCTAGATTCGTTTTTGTATTCCAGTTAAACTCTTACGGCGATTTGATGTGAATAGACTGATATGTTTTTTGATACTCTGTTGGGAAGTCTAGAGTTATGTTCTCTATTCATTCTAACCTCACTATTACTTGCCCAGCGATCCCAACAGATACGAGCAATATTTCTAAGACACCTGTGATCAAATACCAGTAACTTACGAGTGTCCTCTACTCTTAATGGCCACGTTTCGCAGCCGTAAAGCAAAACAGGACGAACTGCTGAGATGTATACTCGTTTCTTAATTGATAGACGGATATCTCTCCTCCATTGGTGACGTTGACAAAAGCCAAACGAGCGTTTTGAACCGGTTCGGAGATTTCGTCAGACACCAACCCGTTAGGGCTGATCGGACTTCCAAGATGAGTGAAGCCATCGACGCGTTCGACCACTTCACTTCCTATCCTTAGTTCAGGTGTCGATGCAAGCCAGTCCTGAAGCAAAAATTTGATTTTTGGGGGGAGTAAAGCATCCCAAACACCCTGGAATTGTTGATTAGTGCTACCAAAAGACTGCATTTTACCAGCGTCTTCAGCAAAAAGAGCTGTATCATTTGCACAATCTAAGGCAAAAGTGGATCTCCTGGTAGGAGATTAACTCCCGAAAATTCAAATGACGAGAACGTTATTTCCAGCAGTAGGTCTCTGATGAAATATCTCGCTTATAGAGTCAAATGCTGCTTTTAAGTCAACGAAAATCATTGTCGGACGCCGATAACCATGCCTGTGCTCTACAATCTGACGAATGACAAATATGTGGTTGATGCAGCCACGACCAGGTCTGAAACCTGTCTGATTTTCTTGTGTTTACAGTTCATAAGTCTTTGTTAGGCGTTCGATAACTATTGAAGCTAGTATTTTAGAAGTTATATTAGTCAAGCCAATCCGTCAGTGGTTACCACAGGATGGTTTTTATCCTTTCTTATATATTGGGATGATCAGTGATTGCATTTCCCAATTATTAGCAAAAATATTAGTCAACCTAATCGCTGACACTGGCCTGCCATCCTTAAAGACCTATGGAGTTAATCCAATTGCTCTTCCTCGTTTCATATTAGCTATTGCCTTTTGAACTTCAATTAGAGTCGGGGGGGCTACTCCAATGTCTCATTCTTGCTATATGGAAATGGTGGGTAGCTGTAGAGTAGCTGAAGGCCAACTGAACTGCTTCTTAACGCGTTCCGCTCATCGTTCTAAACGTCTGGGCTGGAAGCAGATCAGTGTCGTCTTTTTACATGATCGTCTCATACTTGACTTTTTATTTCCAGTTTCTTTTATTAGTCTGAAAGGCTGTTTGGTGTTACCTACAGCTGCTGCTTTTTCCATCGCTTTTGCTTTCGTTGCTCACCAATGTTTACTCTCGTCCCTTAGACTTTTGCTTAACTTAGATCTGATTTGTTTTCGCTCTTCATACTGTTCGAAGGCTAATTGGACGAGTTTACGAGAGTTTATCAATGTAATAGATGTCGCAGAAATCCACTAGTTTTTCGTAACCCTTTGGTTCAAATCACTAGTAGATATCACTGCTTTTTCCATAGCTGTTCATATATCTTTCCAGGCAACATCTGGATCAGCCTCTTTTTCGAATCTACCTAAGTGAGACTTCAGTTACTGCTGGAAGCTACCTTTAGCTTTTTCGTCACTGAGTTCAACTCTAATTGGTCTTCTTGATGTGGCTTTTCTGCATCCTATGAGGCACAAGCAGTTGCGCTCTCGTACTGGAGAATGATCCGAGTTTAAACACGTACTCCAGAACGAGCGTCAGTCTTCTACTAAGCCTCTCCAACAATAGATGATGGCAATATGATCTCAGTCCATCGTTAGTTTGATGCAGGGTATCGCCATGTTAGATAATGTCTCTCCTTATGCTTAAAATTAGTGCCTGTTATAAATAGACGATTGTCTGAATACAGTTGCAGCAGACGGTCACCATTATTTGTTCGCTGAGCCGGAATACCAAAATACCCACCTAAATGTCCTGTTCGCTTTAAGCTACCTACTTGGGCATTAAAGCAATCTACTACGAGTACTATATCTGAATGGATGTTTAGCCTTTTGAAGAAGTTCAGAAAGCTTTCTGCAAAAGTCATTTTTCACTTTATACGGGCTGCAGTCAGTGGGGGCGTAGGCAGAAATGACGAAAAGGCAACGACGTGTGTCCCTATCCTTGTGAGTTCTTACGGAGCCGTTTAGCCAAACAACGCATAGGCGATTGTTAACGAGGATCCACTCTAAAAGTGCTTGTTATGCCCACATACTTAGTGCTATACCTACATCCATTAGTCCACGAGAATTTGCCGTCGGGTCGCCAGATAAACAAAGGGTTTATCTCGTCGGCTCTGCTTTGGCTAGATAAGATCAACTTTGTGACCACATCATGATCATGCGTTTTTCGGAGACGCAGCATGCATCAATGTTAGGAGATTCTAGGGTCTTAGCCAAGAAGTCCTGTCGGCCGATTTGACATAGGGTATGTACGTGGAATGTTCCAATCTGTAGTTTGTAGCGGGGTTTCGGTAGACCTGGGATAGTGTTTTGAGCACTAGAATCTTTGGTTATGGTGACACTTGAGGAGGAAGCCAAAAGGAAAAGTTTAGTGTTGAAAGTCGATGTAGGGGGAATAATCTGAATTGAAGAGGGAGATTGATTATGAATACAGTGATTTTGAGTGCGGTTATCACTTCCCGGTCGCTTACCCTGTGGAAGGGTTCTGGAGGTATCTGAAAGGAAATTGGGTTAGAGGTGGTCTTAGTGACCTGAGAGCGTTCACTGATAATTATTAGGTTTAAGAGAGAATTTTCAGGCGCAAGAAAAGTTGTTAACATCCTTATCGAAGTTATATATTTGGTGGTAACTAGAATGTGCTTTGGTCTGAGTGTTTGATCTTATAGGCTGTGGCTTAAGGCTTAAATAAGCCGTAGCACTGGAGAGACAATGAACTTCTATAAGATAAGAAATCACTAATTTATAAGGCAGTGCCCAAAGGACAACTGCTTGAGGCCGGTCACACAGCATTTTTGTGTCAGCTCCGTCCTTGTTGAGACATTAACGCCGGAGACGGATATTCATAGGATAAGACGAGTTGTGCATTTTTCTAACCTCACCCTTCCTTGTGGAAAGGCAGGATCGCTGTTATGCTGGTTGTCTGAGGGAAACACCTTACTGCCCTCACACCTCTGTACAGTCAGCAGTACGATTTCACCCTCAGACCTTGGGTTTACTGCTTTTAGTCCTACCGCTCTTCAACCGACCTGTCTGGCATGGTAGGACCTTGAAGAACGATTGTTCGAGCCAGTGTAGCCTGGTTGGCTCATGACGACGGTATTTTATCCTTCCGTACCTAGCAGTATTTGAATGTAGAAGTTTGATATGTGGATTGTCAAGTCCATGAATATTCAAGTATGAATATAAATTAGTGTTAGAAGGAAATCGGTGTAGCATACAACTTTCGTATATTCCCTATCACTGAATACTGATTTATAGTTTGCTTTATTCTAAGACTTAATCGTTCTTACTTTTTTCTTCTTTACTGCTTAGGTCGAATTAATCATAGTTGTTCACCGAATGCAATAATTCGTTTCAGTGGAGTTAATAGTCGATTATCTGTGGTTGCATTGACACCGATTCAAGAAGGTGAAGAAATCACTATCTCCTATTTGGATCATTGTCTACAATCACGTGGTCGTCACACAAGACGTAAATACCTATCATCAAATTATTTGTTTTGGTGTGATTGCCCTAAGTGTGAAATGGAAAAGATTGATGGTGCATTAAGCGTGACATCCTCATCTGAAGACGATGAAGATGGTGATGACCATTGTACTCAACAAGACAAATGTGAATAATTTCATGAAAACTCGTCATACCCCCCCACCCAACCGCTCACCCTCAATACACATGAAATAAGCTATTGTGACAAAACCTCTGTATGATAATTTGTGTAAAATAAAATGCAAATTATGAACAATCCTTTTGGTAATTGTTCTTGCTCTGTTACTTTGTTATTGTTTGACTGAACAATTGTTTGATAAAGATATCTACGTCCAGCTCAAACTAAAATAGACGTGAAGTAGAATGCCAGTCTCTTTACAGATTGTCAAAATTTAAGCGTTTACACGACTGAGAAAGTCACCTAGCTAACTCTTAATTTAACTCTTCAGTCATTAGTTAGTCACTATTGAAAATTATCTCTGAACATGGATAATTTCAAACAAATCAAGAATTAATATTATCGTTAAATCAGAAGTGAAATCAGTCTTAATCCACATTTACTATGCACGACAAACATTGTGAAACGTAGAAAATTATGATAAGAGCCAACTCAGATTGTTTTTGCTTAAAAACTGGACGAAAAACAGTCCAGTATTTATGCCTCCCTCTTAATTGTGGTATATAAAGACAAACGTTTGCATAAATTCTAGAAGGGAAAGTCAATAGAGTCGTGGGCTAGTAGCTAAGGTGTTCAACCTCCAGCCACCAAGTACCGGGTTCAAAACTCACCCCACCTGCTTTTCTTTGGGCAACCAGGTTGTATAATAGGCCTTCACATTTAAAGTGTGCCTGATACCCAAGTAATGAGAACCAAACCCTTTTTTATAAGCTGACATTAATGTACAGCTTTGGCTTAACGGCTAAAACGCTCCATATTATATCTATGTTTTATAACTGTATTACTCATGGGTAACGCGTTTTTACATCACGATCCTCCTTCGTACGCTTCATTGAATAATCGTGAACTAACTGTTCTCTTATTGGTCGACACACTTTTTATACGTTCAGCCTTATTGAACTAGTCACGTTTTACTCGTCTATGCTAAGTTTATCACCCTCAATGTGATTTCTAACTTAAATTAATCATTTTTTGTTTTAGTACCATTTATTATTTGTATGTATTCATACATAAATATTCCTAGAAATCAAGACTTTTTGCTTACATTAACCAACCTCGGATTTGTTATTCTGGCTAATCTGACACTCAGCTTTTAACCAACAAGGTACAGGTTTGAAATTAAGCTTTATCTAATTGAGTCTCGGTAGCCAGGTTGTATCATTAGCTCTCATATAAACAGCATGACTTTTCGTTTCAAATACACAGACTTAGACTTGGTAAGAATAATTTAGATTAATTTAGTACTATAATCGAGCTATAGTCCATTTTTGATTAGACATACTAATTTTAATTACCATATTGGGGATTAAGACAAGCACGTTATTATACAACCAGATTTTACAACGGTTTTGTAATATAAACATGAAAATTATTCGATTAAATAGTAATAAACTAATACATTCGGGGATATCTATTTGACTACAAGCCATAAAATTTTGTCGAAACTTTTGTTTTTACTTCATTCTTAAGGTTTATCTTCATGTTCATGGAGCCTTTTACATTTCTTGACTGGTAAATTTTACATATGATTCCCGTTATTTTATAGACAACTTGATCTCGTTAGTATGCAAAACTTATTGAAGACAGGAATCACAAATGACATAGATAAATCTAACTAGAGAAGTGTCTGCAAATGAAATATGCTGTTTCATACTGTTTTTATATAGATGCAGTTTAATGTTGTGTTAGTATCCAGCAACAGTGAATTCTAAAATGGCTTCTGGGAATCTTCTCATCTTTACATCTGTACATTAATTAGTGCTGCCTCCTTCTCATTGAGACTAAAACAACTTATACCAATTGATATAGGAGCTTGCACAGATTGAATTTCCATGGTTTGCATCACTAATTGATCTTAGTTACACAATCAGTATTCACCGGACATCTATTTCATCATAGTATGAAACTCCTCAGCAGTGCCCATTCAATACATCAAGTGAGATCAAATCCAGGAACTTCTGATCCTAACCTTTAGACCACTGAGCCGACATCTGGCAGTTTATATATCTAACTTTGGTTAATTCATAATATTGCGCAATTATCTTCCATTGTTTTTGTTAGATAAATGCCTTTCTCTTTCACGGCTTCTCACTAGAACTTCGGTAACTACCTCTCAAAGATGGTCGCTACTGAATATTTGGTTACAGCTGCTGTACAGGTTTGCAGCGATCATTGAACTTTCATAGTTTTAATCACGTATCTGAAAGACTTGGGCTCTATCGTCAGTGGGATCGTGAATATACACTGTTGATGAGTCTCATACTATGACGGAACAGTTATCCAGTTTCAGTGCTTTCTTATTTTTAAGCGGTTGTATAACCTTTACGTAAGCCCTGATTACACAGATCGAGTCAAACATACTTATTGTAACTGATTGACAAAGTGGATAGTGTATTAGTCGACACTTCAGCAAACAATAGAATGGTATAAGTCGATTTTAAAATAGGGGGGACTAGACAAATATTCCTACTTATATCAACACCCCTTTTAAGTTTATAGACCTAGCGCACTCCCACATCTGGTCAGAAGGCTTTTTTCCAGGCATAACGCAACTAATCGGTCACTGAATCGAATTCTAGAAAACTATGAGCTGTCATTTCTTGCTAGTTTGGACTCGTCATTATTAAAGTATATTTGTAACCTTGATTGAACCGATGTTCCTCGTGGGATTCAAAATAGTGCCGTGATTGGGGATGTCACTGTTGAGGTGTTCTGAGAATAGCTGATCTACCAAACTGTGATGTTGGGTCACCTAAAAGTGATAGCTGCACTTCAACTCCACGTGTAGAATTTAATCACTACCTAAAGACTACAATGCAGGATTTGGCATTATTCAGTGAATAATTGGTTTACTGAATAGTTTTCTGGCTTAGTTAAAAAATTTATTTAGCTTAGATTTCTATTTAACAAAATGATTCTATAATCAGAGTACTTTCTATTTCAATTTCTTCTTAGTGTGAACGCCTGTTCTGTTGCTTCCGTAGTTCCGACGTCGGCGACAATCCACAGATCCGTTATGAATCCTACTCGGAACATGGCGGTGGTGGGGGACCCGTAGATTTAGAGACTCGTAGACGATTACAAGTAGAAGCTATTGAACGCCGATTAGCTGAAAGTGAATCACGTGGGATTGGAGATCTTGCAAAAGTTAGAAGAAAACAAGAACGTATTGAAGAGTTAGAAAAGAAACAATATAGTGATAAACCATCAGATAATACATTACGATGGAATGTCAGTTAGTTGGACTGTGTAAAAATATATTATTCACCTCGTTTCTCTCTAAATTCTTGTAAGTAGGTCATGATGTTATACTGTTCTAAAATTCTTGTTGAAGTATATTCATTATTATTTATGCTGCATAATGATATTTTGTCGAATAATGGTCTTTTAATCAGGTTTTTTCTTCGAAAATATATACATAATTTCATTATTTATTAATAAATCAACTTTTGGTTACTTGGACTAACCAACTTATTGCAATTTTTACATTGACTATTATTCGTGTCATGTGATTAGGCAATGCCAACGTTATAAAACAGATATCGACTTAAGTTTTAAAAAAGTGGCGATCACTAACTTTGACTTTAGTTGTTTAAAGACATTTCACTCCCTACGATAGCTGAAGATTATCTGTACAGCACTAATAAGGAGTCTTACTCCTGAATGAAACATTTTTCTAGTACTCTCTAGTATTTTAGTTAAATCCCATTCTCAACAAACACTTCATTAACTTTTATTTTATAATCATGGTTTTAAGTTATAATGGTATTCAACTCCTGTGAACCGAAATACGTATCATTCGTTCTTTTATCGAATTTGTTTTCAAATTTAGTTTTGGTGGATTCTACGCGCATATCAAAAGTATTGTCAGATTCTCTAGAATAACGTACTGAAGGTTGTCTTGGCTTCTCAAACGTGTAACTCCGTATACTTACATAACTGGGTTTTACCTATTAATTTGAGAATTCAAGTTGATTTCGCCCATTTTGATTCATTTGACGAACTAGTATCGAAAAAGCCTTTACACAAAAAGTCTATATGAAACTTTATTGAACTTATAAGTAGGTACTATGATTTTCCAACTGTGTTGCTCTCTACCTTTGTTTTACGATTTAAAAGTATTTCGTATTAAGAATTATATTCAGTCCAATTTCATGGTGGTGTAAAGTTGTTTTGTATCTAATTAGTTGGTTACTTGATGCACGATTTGGTGAATTGTATGGCTTAAACTAATTTGTAGATATCTCACTGACTTGATTGAATGAGAACTTTTCACTGAAGCGGTTTAACTGGCCGACGTTAAACTAAAAAATTTTGTTCATATGTAATTTGAGTATAAAAACAAAAATCCTGTTCTTATGGATAAATCCTTGCTGATTGCTACCTGACGCCATATGTCATAAGTCTATCTAGTTTTTGAGTAAGTGAAATCAATTTTCTGTAAGTATTTATGATTAGTTTGAGACATATTAGTTCATTTCAGATAGTCAGTTTAAGACTTCATAACTTGCTGAGTATTCTTCGTTCAACAATTTTACCCCTTCCTAGTTTGACCTCACCTTGTATAAGTTTGCTCTTTGTAGACTGCTTCTAACTCATACCCTGCAAACTGACGATCTCATTTTATGATCAATATATTTGATTACCTGTGAAACAATCGGATATCTTATTATATGTTTACCCAATTTTATTAAATGGTAGACAAATCTTTTGGTGTTCTCGATTATGTGTTTTGACATCTTTCAATATTCCACTAGGAATTTTTATTACATTGAAAATAAAGTACAACTCCATTCTTATTTAAAGACGAGTTTACAAGCTGAATCAGAGACTAATTTCTCTCACTTCAAAAGTTGAAAGTAGGCATCAAATCTGGTAAATTTATGTAATCAAACTTTTAGTAAATGTTAGAGGCTGATTTAGTTGACAGAAAACCAACCGAGGATTCGTACTAATTATATCCTTTGTTATTTGTACATAACAAAACAATTGGTACCAAACTCATTCGAATATCTGGATTTTAGATTGTATGCATACAATTTATTAATAACTACTCGTTTACTCTTTAAAAGCTTAAGTTTCAGAATTAGTCCATACTTGCTATATATCACATAAATATTATTATTGGCAATAACGAATTATATTTTTGCGGTCAACTGTCATGGTCGACTAATTCACTCAGTATGAACGATTTTCTATTTGTTAGAAAAGTGACCATGTGTATTAAACATATTTCGTACAATTAGTTGTATCTCAAAAATCTACTTGCTAAAACAATCACATGCATAAGCAGAGATAGATGGTGACTAGCAGTGGAATCCAGGACGCGCGTTTCGTCTTAATTGGGACTCTTCAGCTGGATAGTAGTAGTTCTTTGACTACAGTATCCCGTACTAGAAAAGTTATATTTGGATATGTAAGTCAAACTAAACGCTTTATAAATTCTGTCATATATTCGAAATAAGAAATTTCTTCCGTTCTGTTTAATTGTGGTCGATTTTCTTATTATGGAAACTGGTAATTATCATGTCCACCTATTGACTTTGCTATTTATCACCCATGAGACCACAATCTTTTACATAACTAATGATACGGTGACCAATGAACAACGACCAACATCTTAATTTCTAATGGTCCACGAGATCCCCATAACGCGATGTTCAGTCGGAAGACAACGTTAGCAGATATATGCCTTGTTGTTCTGTTATCATTATAACTCAACACTTATATAATAATGAGTCGATTCCTGATCATATAACAATATGAATAAGAAATTATAATTTGAAAGAGGGTTAGTTAACGGGTCCGTAATTAGTTAAGGATAACTTAAAGAAAATAGGACATGTAATAACATTATGCACTAACAGCAAGCTTGAAAGTAAAAGAATATAAAAACACAATAATACAAATGTCTAGTAATTACACAGTGAGATTATTAACATCGATTTTGCGTAAGGTAGTCTCAAAAGTTACAGATCTCCTAATATCCATTCCGTTACAACACTCAAGATTATCAGCCGAAATAGTCCACTACACTAGGATCCTCTACAACCAAATGAATCAAGTCTTGTTTGGTTCTGAATTCATTTACCAAGTAGATCCTTGTTTACACGACTTTAAATAGCACTATTTGTGTTAAAGTCAGTCGTACTGCGAAGCATGCTACTTATGCAGACAGATATAAGTAGTATGTAACAGCAATCGGAACTGGAATGCCTGCCAACAGGAGAGTGTATTGAGAAGAAAAGGAGGGGAAACAGGTTGTTCAAAACCTGAAAAAGATTGACTCTCCAGGACCAGGCTGGGTTTTGTTCTGGTCGAGGATGTATTGATCATATCTTCACCCTCCACCAAATGGTAGAACACCACCATACTGATCAAAGGCCAACAGTCGTAGTGTTTCTTGACATCAGGGCTGCCTTCGATTCGTTGGATAGGAATGTTCTCTGGGATTGTCTATTGAAGATGGGTGTACCTAAGAAGTTTATTAACATCCTAAAAGCCCTATATACAAACACCTCATGCAGAGTGAGGGCATACAACCACCTTTTTCCATTATTCCATTCAAGCAGTGGGGTTAAGCAGGGTTGCCCAATCTCACCATTCCTCTTCAACTTTTCCATCGATGGCATTCTGGAAACAGCTGTGATGGATGTAAGTAATGGTGGTGTGGATCTGTTACCAGGAGAAAGACTTCTCGACCTTGAGCATGCGGATGATACTGTCTTACTGTGCGATAATGCCCAAGCCATGCAATCCGCACTTAATCAGTTGGCAATCAGTGTCCGTAGGTATGGTATGTGCTTTGCACGCTCGAATTGAAAAGTACTTCTACAAGACTGGCAGGATTCTAATCCTGTACTCACTCTGGATGGTGAGCAGACAGAAGTAGTCGAGACGTTCGTGTATCTAGGTAGCCGGATAAATGCTGGAGGTGGCGTGAGTGATGAGATCAATGCATGTATAGTGAAAGCCAGAGTGGCTTATGCCAATCTGGGCCATCTTTGGCGCCTTCGTGATGTCAGTCTGGCTGTAAAAGGTCGGATCTACAACGCGTCGGTGAGAGCAGTTTTGCTCTATGCTTGTGAAACCTGGCCTCTCCGAGTTGAGGATGTTAGACGACTCTCTGTGTTCGATCATCGCTGTCTCCGAAAGATTGCTGGCATCCAGTGGCAACACCATGTTAGTATTGCAGAGGTTCGGCATCGTGTGTTCGGGCACAGACACGATAATGCAATTGGTGTCACCATCTTGAAACACCGACTTCGGTGGCTTGGACATGTTCTACGAATGTCGTCCCAGAGAATTCCACGTCGTGTATTATTTGCCGACCCTGGGACTGGTTGGAAAAAGCGGAGAGGTGGTCAGTACATGACATGGTGTCGTAGTATGAAAGAAAGCTGCAAAGGGCTGGCTTCTGTTGGTCCTTCATGACTCCCTGGCATGGTTCCGAGTGGTGGTGTAACACAGTGGCTAGAAACGTTATCAGATATGGCTGAGAATAGAAGCCAGTGGCGATCCTGCTGTAACCTTCTTTTACTTTTTTCACAAAAAGTGGCTGTATCCTCCTTAAATGTAAGATTTCTTCTGAGTGTACCTTTTCATCTCCCCCCATTATTGTTATTTTTTTATAATCCCCTACATTCCTTACTTTTTTTCCCTTCTTAAATTATCATTGTTTTGTGTGGCACATATATATTTGGTGCCCCCTGTACCAATATTTATGTGTTCAAATAAATAAATAAATAAATTTCTTTCCTCATAATTTCTTGTTCTCGTCATCTTATGAATTGTAAAAAGAAATTGATGAAATAAATCCAATGAAATCTATGATAAATTTATGTCATTCTACTTGGTTCATCTTTACTGTTATTGTTCTCAAATGCATTGTTTATATCTCCTTACAATAAGTTAACAGGGAACTTTGTAAAAATAAACAAATGTTTTATTCCATTCGGCAGTAAATTAGACCCAAATTTATTGATTTGAAAGATTTTTTAATTCTACATATCTTTGCTATGTATTTTTTTGTTATGATCTTATTACAAATCATATGTTGTCACAATAAATATATGCCTAATCGAGTTATCTATAATATTGATAACTCTGACCATATTGATATGAAGATGAATTGAAGCTATGATTAGGCTAGTTAGAAATATCCCATCCTTAAGAAATTCTGTTGGTAATTAACTAGAATCACAATAGATGCTTATTTAAAATGTTAGGAACTATTACAAATGGGATTTGTTCAATATTATAATTATATCTGTGTGAAAATCATTTGACTAACATCAGTTGGTGAACTGCAAAAACCAATGAATTGCTGAAAAATTATTTTGTTCTTATTTCTTACTCTTGATTAGTACACTTAAGCAACCCTGTTCACTTCCCGCAATCTTTACTGGAATCAGTCTCCTTCTTAAGATTAATTACTTGACAGATAAACCACATTTTAAACGTAAGTCTATTCATTATGTAATGCAAAGATAGTTCGGTGTTATCAAAATAGACAATCTACCGGGAATAGTCGACCATCATCAGATAGTAGTCGATATTAAAATAAGTGAGTAAATTATTTAGCATAGGTACATTTTAGTCTTCAAAATGAGATAGAAGATTCCACAATACGAAAAATTTGAGATATTGTGCACAATAAGAATGCATGTACATTGTTTGCTCGCGTCTTCGTTGTTTTACTACTCATTAGTTCCTATTTCGGAACCCGTAGGGCATGGTGTTTTTCTGCCGCTACATACTGCACATCGCAAACATATTCACCAAAAAAGCAATAAATCTCAATAAACTCGATTTAAATGAGTATATATGGCCATTAATTTATTTGAGATTAATGGGAAATGAGTCTCGGTCCACCATCAGTTTTTGTCTTATTACTTGAGGTGCGTGCATCTTAATATCTCTTTATTTCAAATCCAAATCCAGCAGTTATAATAGTATAAATCACAAGTGCTTGAAAATTTATGTCATTTGTTTAGTCCGTATTCATCTGTTAGGCGATAAAACATGACCTCTTTTGATCATCTAATATTTTTTACGAAATCAGCGAACGTAGCAACTTTTCCTGGAATTTGAGTTAGCCATATAACTTATCTTACTGATAGTATTATTGTTTAAATCG